ACAAACAAAACAGGAGAAAAAAGAATTGGAGAGGCTGTCGCAAATCACGAGAACGGTACGAAACAAAGAAAGGTAGGATAAGAGGGGTGAAAAAGAAGAGAAACGCGGAATCCGTGTGCTTAATCGGTCCAGTCGTATCCACGGACGGAAAAACAAAATTCGCGATGCTCGTGCGCGAATCCTTTCCCCTATATGTGTCCGTACGCACGCACGTACAGGGTGTTTCAAGATTTATTAACAACCAAACTTTCTGCATTCCACATATATGACGAATCCGAGAAGTTACTTTCTACTACTTTCTTGTTCTTTCATTGTACACGTGCGCGACTAATGTTCAATTTTCAAAAGCAAATGACTTACGATGACTCTCATTAGTATTCGGACACTGTTGTAATATTGTTGTGAACTGTTATAATTTTGTGAAAAAAAAAAAAAAGAAATGGTACAACGATAGACTTTAAGATTCTACCGCCAAAGCGTGTTGTTCATTTTATTCTAACAATAAGACGCTCTTACATTATGTAGCAAATGACACTTTTCTTCTGCAAAATGCTACAAATTTGTCACAGTACGCAAAATCTTTTTCACGACTGAATCTGCAACAGATTTAACATCGCGATTTCTTAAATTTTCGTCATTTAAGCCTAATATTCAAAGTTCGATGAAATGGCGGGAAAAAATCCAACTTCAAGTTTTCGGATGTCGTTACAGAGGAGAGGCTTCAATCTTCAAAAATTTATTGCAGTTTCACGAGGAAAATTTTTCAACATTTTCCTATAAACTCTGACGATTCGTAGCACTTTCGAGAAGAGAAGTGTCTTCATTTTGCACGGTGTGAAAACATGTGAGAATAAAACGGACAGCGCATTTCGATCGTAGGGGCTTCGAGCTTTAAAATGAATCCAAGTTGACTTAATTATAGCTAGTAATAATTGTAACTAGTTTCAATATTTAGCGTCCGAGTTCATTGTACCTTCACGAGTTTATTTACGTCAATAGACCGCATTAGATTTTTACGCATCTGTAGGAAATTTTGAGACACGAACTTACGAACAGTGCCGTACAATATGAAAAAAAAAAAATATATATATATATATATATAGAAGATATAAAACAACTTCCTATCGATTTTCTATATCATTTATTTTTAAAAATCCTCCTATGAAAGACGAATCTTCTTTAAAATATTCTTAGAAATACGAGTCTGCACGAAAATCTGCGGTCAATTCGTTAAACGTAAACGAGCACTCGCTGGAATTAAATCTCCTACCGAAAAAATCTCGTCGTGACTAGCTCGAGCATCGCGGCAGACAAACTCGCGGACGATCCTGTACAACGCGAAGTACAGGCCTGGGCGTCGCCAACGAAGCGAAAAAAATATCAAACGCAGCGCCAGTTGGAGAACACTTCTCATGGAAATATTTGGCAGCGTGTATCCTCTGAAAAGGGTATCGGGACAATGCTGTCTCTCTTACGAATGCATTATTCCGATATCGAAACGCGAACGCGAATTGCCAGGCATGAAAGAAGAATTTTTCATCAGGCAGCGTGGGCCGGCTTGTGTGTCGTGTGTCGGGTGCGTTTGGCGAGCAACAGACACAGAGAGAGAGAGAGAGAGAGAGAGTCGGCTGGAACTATCGGCTCGTTCTATGCAACACACTCGTTGGTTGCCTGCATCCGGGAATCTTGAAAAGTTTTCCCTTGCATCCAGCCATCCGCGATATGTGTGTGTGTGTGTGT